CAAGTGGGTGAGTGAGCGGATGGATCCCGCTTTGTGTAGACCGAGGGTTGCATCTTGTGAGATGCTGCTCATGTACCGAAGGAGCAGGATGTGGTGTGGGGGAGTAATCCACTGAAATGACAAGCTGCATGAAAAAATTATTCACAGCTCTCACAGGGCACTTCTTTTTTTCTTGGGAAAAAAAAAATCGCTCAGAGGGGCGTATGTGTCAAGACCTGTTTTCAGGGTAGTGGGCTTGAATTTTCAATTTGGATCCAATCAGAACTAATCTACATTTATCATCCACTGGGTAACTGTGGCGTTGGGGCACTCCTTTAAATAGGAAGGAAATGTTTCCTCCACCTTCACAGAACTAATCTACATTTATCATCCATTGGGTAACTGTGGTGTCGGCGATGGTGGTGGTGGGGCAGTCAGTTGGAAATGTTGCTAAGTAACAACGGTGGCAGACAAGGTGGTGAAATGAATGTGATGTAGCGGAGTGCCAATTCCAGCCTTTAACCGCTTCCTCCTTTTCTTTGTCTCTCTCCATCTCTTTTAGGTCCCCCACGTGAGATGTGCAAAGATTTACCACTGACAACCAGGGCCATGGAATGCGAAGACATCTTTTCAGCCATATTCCTCTCACTGCTCATGTTCTTCATCGAAACATAGAGGAAGACATTCTGACAACCTGCGGTGTTAAAGGCATACAGTATTGCCTGGATTTTCTTGAAACATGGTTGGTGTTTCTCCCCAGTGTTGACTTGTGTCCACCAGAGAGTGGTCACTTTTTTTTTTTTGGTACTTGAGAAGTACATGGCACTGTCGACCTGATGATTTAGTTGACATTTGTTTCCTTGTAGCGCTGCTGAACCATACAAGGGGATCCTAGTATTGAACATGACTCATGGGGAGGAGCCTGGCCCTGAGACACACAAGGATTCAGCTGTTTTAACTTATCTGGAAGGTTTACTGATGCATCCAGTGGTGGCCGGGCCTGGGGCCACAGCAAGCAGGAGGTCTGAGGCTGCCCACAGCAACCAAGATCAGGGAGACAAGGTGGGCGGTCCATTTCAGCTACCTACTCATGGCCCCACAGTTCCAAAGGCTGGAAACAGTGGACCGACCATGGGTGCTTCACAGCACTTGAAGAAGGCCCGCCTCTTGCGCTCCGGGGCTTGGAATGATCCAGGGAACCAGTGTTTGAGTTCGCCACCGGTCCATCTTAATGGACAAGCGGGAGGCCTGCAAAATGGGTCACAGGAGGATTCTCCTCATGGCGGGGAGAGTACTCTTTTGGCTTCCCTGCTTCAGTCCTTCAGCTCACGACTTCAGAATGTGGCAATGTCTCAGAACTCAAGCAAGCCGCCGAGTGAGTGTTCCTCTCCTTCCACTGCGCCACCTGCAGATAAGGAGCCGCTGCCTGTGTATGGGACAGCCTCAAGCCGCTTGAAGGGCTTAATGAGAAAGAGCAAACTTCAAAACCACAGCAACACCCCTTACAGTCGTCGGGGACACAGTCATGACAGACCACCAGAATCACCCCGGGCAGCACACAGCGCCACACCCCCTTCGGCCACTGCAGCTTCTGAATCAGTATCCTGTGCAGACCGATTGAAAGCTGTCGCCAACATGGTGAAAATACGTTCCAGTCCAGCACCTTCACCCAAGCCCAGTGTTGCCTGCAGTCAGTTAGCCCTACTGTTGTCCAGTGAAGCTCATCTCCAGCAATACTCCAGAGAGCATGCTCTCAAAGCCCAGCTCTCGGGAAGGTCTGCCAGTGAAAGACTTGCCGCCATGGCAAACCAGCAACATGGCCTTGAGAAAAGGCCTCAGAGTGTGGGCGGGACTTTGCCAGAGACTCCAGACACATTAAGTTCTTTAACAACCCAAAATGGAGTGACGACGACAAACACACGAACAGCAACACTCCCTCGGTTGGCCTTGTCCAGTCCACAGAGCCCCCCTTTGCTGTGTGGGCACACCCATAGCTCCTCACCCACTCCTCCACATACTCCGAGCCACTTTCACAGCCAACCCTCTCGGGAAAAACGAGGCTTTGACTCACGACCAACTCGCCCCCCTCAAACATGCAGCAGTTTGCTGTTGCTGCTGCTCAACAACCACAACAACCAGAAGAAACTGACAAAAAACGGACACCTGGAGGATAGCTGTAGTATTCTACCACCAAGCGGCTCTTCTTCAGTCACATCGGATAGTGAATGTTCCACCCATGAGAAAAGCCTGACCAAGGACAGCAGTGATGCAGAGACTTCCTACTCAAGCTGCTCGCCAATGGATCTCTCGATGAGAAACTGGGCCAAAAAACAAGATACAGGGCCAAAACCTTCCACCCCGTGTTCCTCTTCTGCCTCGTTCTCCCCCTTTACACACACTGTATCCAATTTCACCACGACTGTTTCCTCCAGTGCAACAATATTAACTTGTCATTCTTCTGCTCCACCCACTAATGCAGTCTATTCACCGCTGCCCGCTGTTGTCTCTTCTGCCTCCACATCTATTTCTTCATATTCCTCCTCCTCTGCCTTGACCTCCTCCTTGGACAAACTCACAGAATCTTTATTAAAAAAGTGGAAGCCTGAGCCATTAGGCGCAAACATGGCGAAGAGCAAAGAGCATGAAAGTAACCCAGACCTAAAGTCCCAATCTAAGGTAACACTAATGCAGCTTCTGCTCGAGCGCAGAAGTAACGATATAGTAAGTAAGAACACAGATGAGGAATTGCCACTTGATATAACTATGGCTACCATGTCTCGAAGTCAACCTAACCTTGCGTCCTGGGATGAGTCCAGGACGAAAAGCCCAATAGATAAGCCTGGAGCCCCAAATCAGCCTACGTGCTCCCTTAGTAGAGACCCAGCCGGTACATTGTCCCCACACCCTCCCTCTCCCCAGGTCCAGTCAAGCCCATTGGATTTGTGCAAGTCGAAAGCCTTCCCTGCTGGGAAGGCTTCAGAGCCCGCCTTCAGTGCCAGTAAACTGTTACAAAATCTGGCTCAATCTGGAATAGCTTCATCCTCCCCACCAATCCTATCTGGCAAAGGATTGAGTCAGGAGCTTGATAACAGCAGGCCCTTATCCTTATTGGAAAGACTCAATGCTCCAATCAACAGGAGTACCACCTCCACCCCGCTCTCTGACATACCTGCGGGAGGTGGCACTCCTTTAAATACGAAAGAAACATTTCCTCCACCTTCACAGATCGAGAATCTTTTGGAGAGGCGCACAGTGTTGCAGCTTCTTCTAGGGGCAGGCTCAACTGCAGCTTCTGTCAGCCGCAAAGAAAGGCCTGAAGGGAGCGGCAGGAGGAGTGCAGAGTTGGAAGGGGGGAGTTATGAGAGGAGCCCCAGTGTTTCAAACATCTTTGAATGCGCTGACGTGTCCGCTGTTGATGTAAGAGTCAAAACAGAGGAAGGGGTGGGGCCACCCGCCGCCACTTCTGAAGACATAATCAACAGAAAGAGGCGGACCAACTTTGAAAAACCTTGCCCCCTGTCAGATACGGACTTAAAAACAGAACATCGACCGGCTGAGGTTATCGCAAAATACGGTCTGCTTAGTCAGCTCCTTAAACATCAGACAGCGACGTACTATACGAGTGCTGTTTCGCAGACTGACTGGCAAACCAGACAGGTGAAAGGAGAAAAGAGAGAGTACCCAAGCCCCAGTCCGAAGAAGAGACGCTTGTGTTCTGATCAAACTGAAACTTTGGACGATACCAAGTCGCCAAGAGCATTTCAGAGGGGTGACACAAACATTTTTACCACTCCCGGTGCTCAGGTAACACCTGACAAGCAGAAGCATCTGAAAGACGAGGAGTTTTTAGCCAGGAGCCCACCGAGAGAAACTTTTACCAGAGAGAGTCGGGGATTTAATGTGCTCAAACAGCTGCTGCTCTCTGACAACTGCCTGAAAGAGTTGCCTCAGCAGCACCGTGGGTCGTCCAGCCCTTCCATCCTGCAGGCCAACGGCAAGGCTAACGGTAACATCCTCAGTCAACCTGCCCCTCACCACAGCTTCCTGCACCTGCCCAGCTGGCACCCTCACGGTCCGCTCAACTCAGGGCTTTCGAGTAACGTCAGAACACTGCCCACCCCTCCTGCAAGTGACAGCCTTATTCGCAGTCCCCGCGGTCATCATCCGGCGCCATGGCAAGGTACACACAAAAGAGACCCGCCGAATCTTGTCAAACAGGAGCCAGAGAGCCCCGTTCAATGGAATAGTCAGGAGAGCGATGCGGGCTGTGACTCAAACCCGGAATCTCCTCGGTTGTCACGTTCCAACCCTATCTTGTATTACATGTTGCAAAAGGGCAGCGTTCAACTAAGAAAGGAGGTAAAGAATCAGGCTGAAGCGCCGCAGTCCGTTTTGAAAATTAAAGAAGAGCCAATCAGTGACATGCATGCCTATGAACAAAGCTCCAGCCCACAATCAGCAACCAACCACAATGACAAGCACAGCCAGGACAACCAGAGGCTGAGTCAGTCATCTGAATAGAAGTTGGATTATAAAATATAACATGAGTCTTTTTTTTTGTGTGTGTGTGTTTTTCTTTTCAACTGCTTGCCAAATTAGTTGTGAGAGAGACACAAATGACTAAGAAGGAAAAAAAACACGCTAGTTCAAATTGCACACTGATTTCTTTAAATCGTTCAGTACGACAAACAAGATCTATATTTGGCTAAATATACAAGTGAAGCAACCAAAATTCATAAAATAACTCACCTTTGATGCTCAGGCCCTTTCTATTTTTATTTTTTTCTATTTTCTTCGCCCCCTTCCAATACCTTGTAGTTCGCTACAATTTTTAAGTTATGCTTCATATTTCATAGTAAAACAAATACTGAATTCATTTGATTCTTTAACATATCGCCTTACAATGTCTCGATTGTTTCCTTCCATTAAAAAAAAAAAAAAAAATCATGGTTCCAAAAAATGGTAGCACTCAGTTCAGTTGTATTTATTTTCTCCTTCCCAGCAGTTTGAGCTAAATCAGGGGTGTCAAACATACGGCCCGCGGGCCGGAACCGGCCCCCAAGGAGGTTCGATCCGGCCCACGGGATCATTTAAAAGTGAAAAAAAAATGCATTAAAGACACAGAATGAATATTTTAAATAAAATGCAATTCGTGGATTATCCGCTAGGGGCGCACACTGTTTTGATCACAGTAAAAGACAATATTGTTTTGATTGGGGAAGAAAACAGCAGTCTCAGTCTGTCACCGAGATAGACCCAACGCAGCAAATGATATGAAAGCGCCAGTCAATGTTTCTTGAGACCAAAACAAAGGAAAGAGATGATATTTTGGTGATTCATAGCACAGTATGGTATAATGTTAATGGTTCGGCCCACTTGACATCTACCGAGTCCGTCTGTGGCCCACAATGTGAAATGAGTTTGACATCCCTGAGCTAAATCAATATTCACACTGTAGCTGATCCAGCCTTGTTGAACGTTAACTCAAGGCTCAGAGTGTATTATAATTGACTGTGGGATTTTGCCGACAGAAATTTTTGTGCTTTTTTTTTTTTCCAACTTTTTCGACAGTGCAAATTCAGGGACGTGTGTTAGCGGATTGTGTCATTTTTAGTAAACTGGCACCACGGCGCATGTGTGGGTTTTCTGCAATATCTGAAAAGCAAAGCTTGCCACCGCATTTGAAACACGCACCATTTCTATTTGTGCACAAAGTTTGAATATGAAGCACATTGGCTTTTCCTCCTAATTTCTTCTCAAGGAGCACCCAGAGTTTGCACTATTGAAGCCAAATCCTCCTTGTCCTTTACAGAATAATTAAATGGCATGTGATTTTATTAAAAAAAAAAAGTCAGTATTGTGATCTGTCGAGAATTTGACAGCTCGTGATTTCCCCCCCTCCATTTCTTGACTGTTGTGCGTTTCCGTGGTCGTCTCTTGATTCATAAAAATGTTCAAAAGAATTGCATGATAATGAAGAGAAGACCACAGGTTGTTTTCAAATCATTGACCTATCCCCTCTATTCCTTTTATTTGTCATTTCACACGCCGGCTTTCTCCACGTTGTCGCGTGATTTTTTTTTTTTTTTTTTTATGGAAACATTCATACTGTTATGTCTCTTCCGTTCTTGATACGATTTCACAACGGTTCAATGTATTTGTGTAAATAGTACTTTCGGGATGAAAGATGACTATTTTGTAATGTTTAAGCAAAGATATTACCCTAGTTTTTATTGCTCTGATATGTAAATACGAATTATATGCGTACCGGTGTACATACAAAGGAAGAGGATGTTATGCCCTTTTTTTCCCTTTCGTTTTTTTTTTTTTTTTGGGGGGGGTGGATGGATTGTTCTTTGCATGTGTCTATGTGGTAAATGATAATCTATTCTGCGCTGTGTTGTGTAATAATGTATGACTCTCCTCACTGCTGCCTGTTGCATGCAGACGCATGGGAACTACCTGTGTATCCCCATTGGTGATGGGGGAAAATGTTAAGTCTTAAAAATAGGTCTCTTATTATTTTTTTTTTAATCACACCGAGAGTTTCTTTAAGATGCGGTCTTTAAACAACCACAGACTGTTCAACAAAGTCGAAGAAAAAAAATATGTGAAGAATATAAACGTGCATTGAATATTTTTGTGATTTTTCTTTTCTTTTTTTCTGTTACTGGTTAACAAAGCTCTGTGGAAGGGCTTTTGTGAAGAATTGACGTACAATCATTGATTTGCATTGTGCATCTCAGAATTTGTAGCTGCAAATACAAAAAAAAAAAAGTTGGGTTCATTTTTTTCTTTTTTCATGTGAAGACCTGAAACCTTATTTTTATGTTTTCATTTTTGGGTGTTCATTTGCACTGATATCTCTGAAAATAAAGTTCTAAAATGCATGACCTTAGTTGAATGTCTTCCACTTTTTCTACTTTGCCTTTTAGAAGCTGCTTTGTTTCAAGTTCAAGGGCGTCTTGTTTAGGGAGAGGCATAAGTGATTAACTCAACATTAAGAATTTGATTGTCAATTGCGTGAACTTGATTGTTGCTTAGTCATGTTTTGAAACTAGCAAGATTTGGCTGTAAATGGGCATGCTGTTCATTCACGGTCAGCTAGCTCGCATCAACTAAGCCCCAAACCCGGGCTCGATGCAATGCTGGTATTGAAACAGGAATTAATATTCTATTTGGAATGTATATTTGAAAGCATTGATAAAATGTTGTGTAACCTTGGAGCAATTGAAGACTAAATGAGCCATTACCAAGTGTGAATGTTTGTCTACTCCGTGTGCCTGTGATTGGATGGCGATCAGTCCAGGGTGTAAATCTTCCCTATCTGAGATGGAAAATGCACAGGAGTGTGGAAAAAGCCCATCATATCTCAAATGGTCGTACATCCCAATGAGAAAGGAGGAAAGATAATATGTAGATGGCGCGAACGCAAACGAGCTATGATAAATGGAGGATTTCAGAATGCGCCGTGTTAGCTTTTGTCAGCTAAAGTGAACGCCCGTGGAGGCAAATTTTACATTTTGTAAACAATTCACCTCCGGCATTCCACATTGGCACAGTTTTCACCACCCACGGACATGCTCAGTCTCTTCCACTTTGTTGTTTTCTGTCCACTGTTCATAAACACGATTTAAAGTAACTATGTCCTTATTAGGTGAGCTGCAGCCGAGCTCAGCTGACTCCGATTCACACATTCACAATGTTAAGTCTTTAAAGAACCTAAAATGGATGTGTTTGAAAAGTGGGAGTTATCCAGAGATAACCCCATACAAGTCTGGGTGAAACTTGAATAATTAGTAAACGATGCACAAAACTGTACAGTGTAAAGCCGAAAAAAAAATGTTCGGTCTTTGATTGACAACTTTTCGCTTTACTTTTTGTGTTGTTTTAGAAATAGGCAAGATTTGCAGATGCTGTCATCGGAAAGGTTTTTGTCACTGTAGCACAAACGTTTGCTCCTGAGTGCCACAATCAGAAAAATGGAGGGAAGAGGCCATGTCACCTTGTTGGTGAAACGTGCAGTAAAACATTTAAAGAAAAGCTTGGTGGTACCATGATTAGTATTTGGCACGATATATCGTACCAATTAAACTGTGTATTTTCACATGTTAACTTTTTAGAACTGATTATTAAAGTGTAATTTGAATCACGATCTTGTAGCAGGGGTGATCGCAGGGTCAGAGGTTTAGAGATGCTAAGCTCCCGGCCAGGCAAGGTAAATGCTATCACTTTGTACATTTGACCAGTTTTCTTCCCATACTTAGGAAAGAGAAGCAAAACACTTTTTGATCAAGGGTATTCAATCAGTTGGCTTGTCAGTCGCACCTTGGCTTCAATATTAACACACGCACAAGACGTAACGGCGAGCCTCTCCCATTCCAATTCAAACAACACAAAGTGGTACCAACATGTCCTAGCTCGGGAAAAAAAAATGTAAAAACATAGTTTAAGCTTTTTATTTTTATGTGGCCTTACATTTACAAAACCAAACAAAAAAATCTACAAGTACTTTGTTGCATGTTGTCATTATTTGAATGTGCGGTGGGCCACAAACGGCCCCCGGCCCGTACTTTGGATATGTTGCACCTTGCATGTCAATGTGACTCAGGCGTCCACAATTAAGATTATTATCTCAAAGGATATCTAAGTCAAGCAGCAACTGTGACACCAAAAGCCGTGTGTCTTCATTCAACTAAAGTGAGAGGATGTCCTGTATTCGCTCCCAAAACAACCGGCTCCTGAATTGGCTGCTGCCCGCTAGTGCTGAATGTTAACAAAGGCAGGAAAGACAACTGGAGGGAGGGAGGACACGTGGAGGTCACCACGTCTACGATGAAAGCCCAAGGATCTGCTGTACAAAACCACTTTTACTTCTCGCCCAAAATAAACATAATTGTAAAGTAAATGCGTGATTAATTGTTTTGGGTTGTGGAGATTGTCATACATGCTGTGCTAGGATACTTGACAAAGCGTCTTTCACACGAGACCTTTTCACGGTGGTGTTCAAGCTACTTGGTTTGAACATATCCAGTGAGCAAAAAAAAAAAAAAAAAACTGCTTGTCTGCAGTGCACTTCTGGGGGAAAAAAAAACCCCAGCACCGTTCCCTTCAGCCTTGACTTCCTTTTTTTTTCTTAAAATGTAATCCTCCCCCTGACTGACTGCACTCTTTAAACTCCCAGTCACCCTTCTCCTCTGTGAACTTCTCCATTTCAAGATTCTTATCAAGCCTGAACCACCAGTAACCTCTTGATTTCCTCTAATTGCTGAAGCGGCGGCAAACATAAAGGAGGGAGTCACAAGTTTAACCCGAGGTCAATGTGTAAAACTTGACAATTGACTGTTTGTCTGTGTGCACTTTTGCCTCCGTTCCCTGACCTCAGCTTGTGGCCAAAAAACCAGCACACAGAATGTGCATATGTAGATTCCACACTTTTCAACACACTCACACACACATACACACACACACACAAATGTGCACCAGAACAACACTACACAGTTTATTCCGATTAATTTGGTACATGTATCAATAACAAATGCCTTTTTTTGGAACAAACAACAGTGTCTTCCTTTGTTCAGTCTCTTAAGAAGACATTTAGCTTGGCGGAACGGTGCTAGCCAAAATTGCTACAGTGGTGAGTGAGGTGGCTAGCTCACAGGTGTCCTCATGTCACTCCTTGTGTCAATATGAACTTTGAAACTCACGTGTTATATAAATTGCTTTTGAAGGTTTGTTTACTTCATTTTACATATAAAACATGTCTTAACAGTGTTTATGCGCACACACACATAAACACTAAAGATTGTTGGGGTGTAAAGGTTGCCTGAACGTATTCTGTAAATGAAAACACGATATACACGCACACCTGCGTATTGATACGACTGCAAACTACGATCATAAAATTTACGTACAGTATTTTCAGCCCCTTGACTGGCCACCTC